TTAATCCTTTAAAGTCTCAATAATTTAGGATGAGATGTGGACAAAAAAAAAAATCTTTCTTATACCCATGTATACTGTCTAAATTACAAAAACATGATGAGCATTTACAACAAAATATATTGCAACTTTCTCTAAGTCAGCGGCTCTGAAATGGGGGTGATTTTGGTGCCCAGAGGGTATTTGGCACTTGTGGAAACATGATAGTGGCATCCAGGGGGGTAAAAGTCATGGATGCTGCTAAACATCCTACAATGTGCAAAACAGTACCACTCCCCCTCCCTTACACACCAACAGCAAAGATGTGTCCAGTCCCAAATGTCAATAGGTTGAAAGACCTTACTAACTAGACAACTCCAGGCAGAGATTTCCATTTGAGAATATGTTTTTACAAGAAGAAATACTGTCATTATTAATAAAATCATGGCTCTGAGCAATAGGAAAGTGAGCAGAAAGTTTGAAGTTGTGCAGTCCGAGGATCAGGATAGAAAAGTGTTGGCTCTGCTCCTTAAGCTGTGTGACACTGGGAAATTTATTTAGCCTTTCTGAGCCTTAATAATGTAACCTTAAAATGGGTATGGCAGGAGTAATAATACCAAACCCTGTCCTTCACAGGATGGAGTGAGGCTCAAATGTAATAACGTATATGAAGGTATTTTGATCATCAGTAAGTACTATAATGTTTTCTCTTTCAATCCCTATAACTTTTACCTCTTTCATGTTCTAAGTTGGATGGTCAAATAGGATTTAAACATAGGTCATTCGTGTGCATATTAAAGACTGAAGAAGAGGAATTCTGTGAAAAGCACTTCAACTGAGTTGGTATGCAATATCAAGAAAAAAGCTACTTGAGACCCTGCCCTCCTCAGCACCCCCTGGCATGCAAAGATTGAAGCTGCATATCAGTCTGCATTTCCCAGGAAGCCTAGATAGGACCGGAAAAACCTTTACTGGACCATGCTCAGGGGTCTTACAGCAGTGACAGTACCACCGGCCACCCACTCACAGCAGAGAGAAGATATTCAACAATCCCAGTCAGCTCAGCCTTCCAGGGGGCCTAGAGCTGTGGCTAAAATTAATTCCTCATACTCAAGTCACCTTTCACCTCCCCTCCCTTGTTCCTACCACCGCATTGTATAGGGACAACAATCAGAGACTTTATAAGGGACATTTGTCAGTGCCTGGATGATAGCTCCGGGCTGATTCTTCTTTTATTTCACTCTCCTGTTTCTTAGCTTTTCTATTTTCAGGTTCAAAGAAAGAAGTTGCTTTTGAGTTCTATCTCCCAGAATTTAGTGATATAAGATTCGGATTGCTATAGAACTATTTTCATTCTGTATCCTCCCTGATTCACAAAGAGCCAATGCTACATGCCCTGTGCCCAGCTGGGTTCTAAATATTTCACGGTGGGATGTTTCAGTAGAGCCCCATAAATGCCCATGAGAAGATTGTGGACATGACCCATTCATCCTGGTGCACAGCTGACTCATTCAGACCTGGTAGGCAGGAACAATTCCCCGAGAGCATGGTCTCCAAGTGAGATAACTTACGTAAATCTTCCATAGGAGCTACTCTGTATGTCTTTACTGTTTAAACATTAGTAATAAGTGAGTAGTGAGACTAAACCCTTGATGATTTCTAAACCTACTGTTATCGATTAGAATGACTTTAGAAACAAGACGACACATTTTTGTAGAAACTGTGTCAACACTGCCTCGCCAGATTGATGGCTTGGTTGTTTGATGGCCAGACACCGGGCATTTTGATCTTATGATTTAAAATAAACATTGCCAGATTATTCTCATGATATTTTAAATTATTAATAGTTAAATTGATCCTTTTAATAGCACAGGGAAGCAGACAGGAGAGAAAATAAGGTATCCAAGACTCAAAAAGTGAGCTGCTCCTAGGAAGTCTTGGCAGAGTGGAACATAAAACTCAATCTAGTATATCACACAACTTTTTAATCGAGGCAGCAAGGTAAGGGGATAGCTCCTTTAAATACTCAGTATTCTTTTAACTGCTTCATGGGAGCACATTGCCATTGTTGTAAGGAGGACAGCTTGGGGTCACTGGTGCCAATAAAACTTTTAAATGAGAATTTTGAACTCCACATCTCACAATAACCACTTTTGTGTGATCATTGGAAGTGACCTTTGAGATATGACACTTCTTTAAAGAAAGAAATAAATCTAAGATGACACAAGAAGAAAAAATGCTCATTTCTAGCTATGTATTTTTCAGAACATCCCCCAATTCTCTGGGGAGCAATAGTGAAAATTGTGCCCAATTGGAGACAGAAAAATCTGGTCCTAGTTCTTCCTTTACTTGCTGTGTGACCTTAGGAAGGGCATAGCACCTCCTTGGGTCTCTGTTTTTATTTGAAATGGAGAATAAAAAGCATCTACTCTATCCAATTTATAGGGTATTTTACCATCAAAATGAAGAAATTTGTATTCAAAAATATGTCCTAATTTAAAATGCTAGCCAAATGTTTGGTAAATCTCACAGCTAACATTTATTGAGGATTGATTTAATTGGCCCAGCATTATACATGTAGCTAACTCACTTAATCTTCACATTTACCAGGTATTATCATTACCCTGGTTATCCAGACTAGGAAACAGGCTCAAGGAGAAGAATGGACATCTTCTTAAAGAACAACAAAACAGAGAAAGTACAAAATGAGAATTTGCGAAGACAGAATCTAATATATTTTGTAAAGCATTACAGAAGTCATCAGAGGAGAAAAATAAAACCTCTTAGAAATTCTTACACTTATTTTATGGTTCAGTGTTACTGTATTTTGAATTACATGTGGGGAGAGGCACCAAATATTTCAATGCTTAGGACATTTCAAGGTCTTAATCCAACTGCCTTAGACTCACAGGTGATGAAACCAAGATCCCAACTCTAGCCAGTTGACTCCAAGGCCCATACTTAGAAATGCTATACTGTACCCTGTCCTGTAATAATAACACATATTGTTACTAAATAACAGTTTCTAACTATAATAATAGTTTTCAGGAGGAAGCAATGCTATTAAAGAAAGGTTTATTCTGTTTTGAAAACATATAGGAAGCAACCCATAATTTGGAACTAAAGACACAAAAAGATAGGCGCACAGCAAGAGTCTCCGGTTTTCTTAACATAGCTGTGGCTTTAAAATGACCATTAAAGAGCCTTCTCATTGGTGGCAGCAAACTTGTAGATTCTATATTGGCTCAAGGCAAGTGGTTAACATCAATTTAGAAATCTTTGAAATTCCTAATAGAAACACAACAAACCCTTCAGCAGCACTAGCAAGGCCAATGATAACACATATGGAGAGAGGGACTGATTTTTTTTCTATGAGCCTATGAACAGCTTTTAAGATTTGGGCTGTTTTTATTCCTTTCACCCTCTCCCCCATCCATCAGGGATTAAGGAAGAAGCATTTAAAAATTAAGTCTATTAGTGTGTAGTGAATTTGAATGATAAAAATTCATAGAAGCTGTTAATAACTTTGGCTTTCTTTAAATACTCAAAGATAACCTCATAAGGGCATTTTCATGCCTTAATCTAAGAAATTCTGAGACCCCCAGCAATGGCTGATCTAACAAGTTCTGTGACCCCCCCCAGCAATGGCTGAGCCGGCTGTTTTATGCAAACTGAGATGGCAAATCAATAGTGGGTGGAGCTTTTTGCCTCAGTACCTTGGGGGTCTTGCATGCTGTTTCCAGATGCTCTTACAATTCTTAAACAGATATAGCAGGACTCTAGCTATTAGGGAACAACCCAACAGCACAGATACTTCTGATAGGCTTTTAAAGAAGAAAATTAATGCTGAGTTAGGTGTGGAGATACAATCACAGCCTTCAAGCCATTCAAAAGTCTTAGCCTACAAATAGGCAATTTACTTTGTATATTTCTCACAAGCATAACCAGGATTAGCTAATGGCTTTTAGATGTGTGAAAATGTGCTTCAGGCTTCCTTGTTATTGTGCCCACCTCACTGTAAAGGAAGTTCGAGAAACGTGGTGAGAACATTGTAGGGAGTTTGGTGTGTAGGATAGAGAGTTGCACATCACTTCATGCCCACATTAGTGAGAAGTGTTAATATTCTGACTATTCTCTTGCATCCATCAGGTGACTGTGCAATTGTGGAGCAACGGCCCTTTGCTGAAGATTGTCCCTTCCATTCCTGGCGCTTTTACGATCAGCACTCAGGACTTTTCCTGGGAGAAGTGAGAGGCAAGAGGGAAAGCTGAGGGATTATTTGAATGATCTCTTTTAAGGAAGGCAACCTCTTCTCCCATTGTCCTTGATCCAGCCATCTGGCTCTGGGAATTTGTTGCTGAATGTTTCTTGACTGTAAAATTTAAACAGATGATTAACCCCCTTTCCTGCCACACCAGCATGCTTGCTATTAAAATGACTACTAGGACCACCCTTTGAATATCAAGGCAGGCTTAGGGTAAGTGAGAAAATAAAAACTAGCAAAGTCCACCAAATGAATACAATTCCACCCTTAAGATTTTCTCTCACTGTTACCATGACTTGATCTGTGTCTTCAAGTTCAGTAAATGTCCTTTTAGAGTCTCTCTCTGGCATCTGCACCTTCAACCGCACCCAACTAAATGGCACCACAAAGTCTGAGTCTCAAATGGAGCATCTTATGATTATCGACACTAGCTCATGATAGAGATGATCCTTCCCTTCACTGCTCCTCATCTACAGGCCCTGCAAAATCTACGGTAACTGTCTTTGGTATGAGCCAGTCAGGCTGTATCAGTCAAAGGTTGACAAAAAGTGTCCAGTGCATAGTTGGTAAAGTCTCCAGAAGCTCCCTATACTGGATCAAGTCCTAAAGAGATAACTTATCTTCTGATACCAAAAAAAATCATGAATGTGTACTTCACTCAGTGTTTTAGAATTTGGTGATAGTCATGAGAAAAATCACCATTGAAAAGTGAGAATGGGAGCGTCAAAAAGAGTAGGACCATTGAGCGAGCAACATGTACCTGTAGGATAATGTTCATTCACTGGCCAGTTGTCCACTTGCAGCGTGGCGTTGCCGCCGTTCCTGGTGAAGCGTACCACATGGTATTTGCCGTCATTTACAGGGGTTCTCTCCTCTTTGATGGAGATGTCGACTGTGCCAATATTGAAGACAACTCCAATTTTCCCCTGTTCCTATAATAAAGAAACACAAAAGGCATAGTTATCACCAACCACGAAGTTATCTCCCTTTAAATTTGATCCTCCAACCAGCAATAAACCTGTAGGTGCCCAGAGGGAGCTGTCAGCATGAAGATAATAATAGTATTCTATATTTCTCCATGAGTTTTCATCCTAAGCATAAAAACCAATGGCATAAACCACCCAAATTGCTCTCCCAGGCTGTACTGCACAGGTTACATCATTCAATTCCCCTCAATGCATATCAGGCCTGGAACTACCTAGTAGCTATGCCATGACAATGCAAAGTTTGTTTCTGTGAGATGAATTAGACCTGTTTACTAAGAGAGGACACTAAGACACCAGACCTTAAATCATTTATCACTTCAGATTTACAATTAAAGTGGAAATATGTATGAACTTGTCAGCATACTTTCATGCAATCAAGGCAAAGGGAAGGGGTACAGAATGGTTAGGAGCCAATGTCAGAGGAGCTGGATATATGTATACACACACACACACACACACACACACACACACACACACACATACATACACATGCACATAATGGTTCTGCAGTTCCAAACCACATAGAAAAGGTAACCCCAATAGAGGCCAGTGAAACTGACCTAGAATTTTCAGAATTAGATGGCTGCCATGCTTCCCATAGTAGCCCTACTCCTCAGATTAATCCAAAGAGACATATATTCAAGACCAGAGCTTATGCAACAGAGCAGAATAGAACCTCTGTGGCCACTAAAGACTTGTCAGGAGGGAAATTGCAATGAACTTGATATGAGTAACACTATGACAATGAAGAAACCATATGGTTTGGATGTGTCCCCACCCAAATCTCATGTTCAGTTGTAATCCCCAGTGTTGGAGATGGGGCCTGGTGGGAGGTGATTAGATCATGGGGACAATTTCTCATGAATGTTTTAGTACCATTCCCTTGGTCCTGTTCTTGTGATAGTGAGTTCTTACGAGATCTGGTTGTTTAAAGTGTGTGGCATCTTCCCTGTGTCTCTCTTGTTCCTGCTCCTGTCATGTGAGACTCCTCCTCCCCTATTTGCCATGATTGGAAGCTCCCTGAGGCCTCCCCTGAAGCAGATGCTGCTATGCTTCCTATACATCCAATTAAAAACTCTTTTCTTTATAAATTACTCATTCTCAGGTATTTCTTTATAGCAATGTGAGAATGGACTAATACAGATAATAATGATGCAAATGGTGATGGTAGTGGTGATATCACCAACCCCCTGGGAAGTGCACTAAAACACGAAGCATACATAATAATGCTTTTAAAACTCTGACTCTTCTCTAATAATTCATTATGACTAAAAGTTGGAACTAGTATTCATAATGAGACATGAAATAAATGTAACCTTACTGTTCAAATATAATCAGCCTCTTTTAAGCTCTCGGAAAGCCATTATAGCATTGCAGGGTGTTGGAGGCATGTGTAAGGAGAGAAGGGAGACATCTTGCTCAATTTCTTTAGCTTTCCAAATTATTGGCAATATGTTGGGCATTCAAGGATAACAAAATTTAGTAGTTTAGCATGGCTGTGGAGGCCTGGAAAGCAAACACCTCCTTCTTCACATGGCAGCAGGAAGGAGAAGTGCTGAGCAAAAGAGGAAAAGCCCCTCATAAAACCATCAGATATCATGAGAACTCACTCACTATTATGATAACAACATGGAGGTAACTGCCCACATGAGTCAATTACCTCCCACCGGGTCCCTCCCACAACACATTGGAATTATGGGAACTACAATTCAAGATGAGATTTGGGTGGGGACACAGCCAAACCATATCAGTAGTAATTCTGACATTCTATAAGACTGATTCACAGTATTAGTTCATGATCCTTTGTTATCGTCTATTTTTTTATTCAAGAAGAAGAAGGAGAAAGAAGAGAAGGAGAAAAACCAGGAGGAGGAGGAAGAGAAAAAGAAGAATGTGAGAAAAGAAGTCCAGAATCCATATAAATCAAGATGTAGAAAAGAGTTTCGCTGAATCTCAGCTTTAGTCATTTATTTTACTCATTCATTCATGTATTCATTAAATACACAAATACAAAATTTATTAAGCACCTACTACACTTAAGGTCAACAAATTAAGCATTCTGGAGGGAGGGACACTGGTTTCTATATATAGTTTGGTACACTTCACTTATTTTCCCAAATTGCAGACTTTCCTCAAGTTTCCATTTATCTCTTAGTATGTCAATTCATCTTGTATCCAATAAAAGAATGGACAAGTCACCAATGAGTCTTGACCTTAGAAGTGAGGAATATAGAATGATCAACCAAAGCAGGCTGTGAGCATTCAAGGATGCAGAGATACAGGGTGGACCTCAGTATTTCCTTCATGCCCTGATTACATAGCATGCAATATAAAATGATGTCTGCAATTCCCATGTTCTGTTCTCTGGGAAAAGAGTTCCAGGTAGCTCCCAAAATTGTGACTAAACACACTCATGATTTCTTAAATCTGTTTGTTGAAACCACTATCTACATCTCTGCACTAGGAAAAGCACCTAGCTTTAAAATATGATGCATGGATAAATGAACCTGCTTATCGGTTCTTTTTGTATTTTTCATGCCCATAATTAATACTATTACCCATTTTATTCTCTCTTCTTATTTTTCAAGGAATTCGGAAATGCCAATGTGACTTTTCTGCTTTCTCTTGGAGAATTGGTATTCTATTTCTAAGGGCATGTGTGTGTCACTGCCCACTACCCTCATGCCTAAATAAGCAAGGCTGTAATAATGTGAGCCATAACCTGCTGAGCAGAATGGAAGTACTAGAGGAGTTAAGAAACCATGACTGCAGACACCATTACTCCTCTGCCCACCCCACAGATGTGGGCTGTTTATTGCACCACTGTTCTTCAGTGAGAAACCAGTACATAAATCCTGGATGTATGGAAAGGACTGCTGGTAATTCAATTCACCCCTACGTTACTAATTAATCATGGATGGAAAACAGTTTTAGGGGAAGCATAGAGACCTTTAAACCAGCATTCTGTAGCTTTTCAGTGATAGCAGTGGCAAAGTATGGTTCTGGCTCAGTGAATTGGCTGATCAGCAAGATATATTCTTGGGCAGATTTTCTGCAAGATCCATATTAGATTCAGGAAAAGAAAAGATTTAATCTCGCCAGAATAAATATTTGGTCCTTATCTTAGGTGCCACACATTTGCCATTGTAATCACTGTTTCTGGGAGATCTTCTTAATCCTGTTAGCTCACTGCCAAAGTCAGTGGAGACCCTTCCCCAGGTGTTTCATTTGGTTTCCCACAGTGGTAAATGTGGCTGTGCTAGACCTCAGATGTGGTCTATTTACAGTAATAAAATTTCATTACTGCAACCTCCTTGTCATTTGTCATGGGACCACAGTGGCATTATAATCTGTGGCTAACTGCTTTGTTTCAGTTCATTAGAAGTCACAGAAGCCTTATGGCAAATACCCATAGAGTTGCCCAGGCTTGAATCTATCATGCTCAGCTGCCATGCAAATCAACTCTGCTGGCTCATGTGTCTAGAAAAGAGAAGATGTAAGGGAACAAAAGCATTGGCTTTGGTGTCAGACCTGACTGACCTTGGGCAAATTACTTGATTTTTCTGAAGCCATTTCTAGATAATACACTGTAGGGACAGGATACCAGCATTACATACTTCATAGGGCTGTTGTAAGTATGATATAATATGATGGTACTTTATAAGTAATAAAACATTACATAAATATATGAGATAAAACAGAGCAGGAGAAGGAACCACCCAATCATTTGATCAGATGTAACACTCTGATTTTTGGAGAAATTAATTGGTTCAATAGAATAAATGTTCAAATAACAGCAATGGCTCTTAAAGCTCTATGACCCTGGTCTGGTTATTTTACTTCTGATTTCTCTTTCATGAAGGGATGTGTGGAGGGAAAGAGGGGCCAGTTGTTACCTCTGAAGCTTGCTGTGAGGGTTATAGGAGAGCACAGATATGTGAAGCACCTGGCATGTCGCTGTGGATAATTTTGGATCCACAAAAATGTCAGTCTTCTTTCTCTTCATTAGTGTAATTGAAAGTCGTGTCATGAGCTAAGGCCTAGTTGGCTTGGTGGGCACTGTCATCAAGACATATTATGAAAATAGATGTAAATTTTAGCAAACAGAACATATATTCAAAAAATTTATGCAGGGTTGAGTTGCTATCTCTCTACATTCTTTGTAACCAAATATTATAAGCCTCTCTAAGAAATGCAAAGGGTAGCTGCAAAAACAGCATGACTATAAATTTTAATAACTCCACAGTCATCACCACTAAAGTTGCTACCAAGACAATTGCTTCAATCTATATTCTTCCTTGATATTAAAAACAAAGACAAGTGGTAAATCAGAAGACATTACCAAAGAATCCTCAAGTGCATTCAGGAAAAAAGCTGAACAGTACGGAAACCAGCTGTCTTTAAATAGCCAGTAAGTCACTCTTTATCAATAACAACGGTTTATGAGCCTACCTGGCTCCCCAAATTAGTCCAGCTTCAGCTTCCCTATCCTCAATCAGTCACACTGCAGTTATTTTTGCTGAGGTGACCCAAGAGATGCTACCGACACCAGGATCAGACTCCAGGAGCAGAAATGCTCAGGGGCAAGAAGAATTCTCAGGAATAAAGATGTCCCTGAAGGCTATTTTCACTCATTCCAGACTACCTTGGGGAAGACGGAATGCACCATCCGCTATTTTAGAAAACTGCAGCTGACAGAAACAGAACTGGGATTCTCAAATGTATGTCAGGGATATGGGCAATGGAAGCAGGTCTCAGTGTCTTAACTGCTAGGCTTCCTACCGAATTTGTTAGTTCAGTGCTAGGCAAGAACACAAGGAAGACAGTATGTAAATATGTAATGCCTCCTGTGGGCCAGGCACGGCAAGGTCTTCCATATCCATTTCAAAGTCTGGTTCCTAGTAAAGAAAGTAATGAGTAGCACTGTTTACCACATTTTCCCAGTT